AAAAAACATTTCTTTATAGTGGCAAAATTAGCGAGTAAAACAAACCCGGCGAGGAATGAAACAGCGAGCTCCAAAATAGTGCTGAAGTAGAAGAATAAAGACTTGGAGTCCCATGAAAAGAGCGAAAAAAATACACCAATTACGATCAGGCTCGATCCGCATGAAATTATGCGGGCACCCGTACACATACAACGGGATAGCAGCGCGGGTGATCGTTATCCCAAGGATATAATAAGGGTGCAAAGCTTTCCTCGAGTTACGAGCCACATTAATGCAGATTTGCGGGATCCAAAACGAGTGGATAAGGAAGAGAATAAACCGGAAGAACTTATGAAACTCGTACATTATGAAAATGCCACCTAAAAGGATAGCATCTGGTTTGGAGGGAAAAGCAATATAAATAATAATAATAATAATAAAAAAAATCAGACATTTGGAGGAATAATATTGAGACAAAATGAAATTTTGTATAAGATATAACGATAACTTACAGAAACGACTGTAAAGGGCTGAAAGCTCGCGCCTCATAGTGTCCCAATTTTCTCCATTCGGAGGTCTATTTGCCTTCCATATATTGAGAAGCAAACGCATCTCATATATTGAGAAGACCACAAACTTGAAAAATGTGGCACCAGCAAAAGCATTAAATAGGGAATCTGTAACAAGGGCAAGCATTAGGTTTTGTTTCGTATAGATTTTAACAAGATTTTTTTAAAAAAAAAGAAAAAAAAACGAGAAGAGTGCTCAACAATAATTTTTTTGCGAGTACTTCCATATTTTGTGCTTTTATTGAAAAATGAACTAAACATTCTTCATGTAGATAGGAATATAATTCACCTTTTGGATTTTAAAGGAAGTTATAGAGGTTTTTAAGATGAATGTCGGTGAAAATAACACAAAACGTCTATGGCTAAAGGTGCGTAATATAATATCACCTGGAGAATTAAGAGCCATCACATACAAATATAAACGGGACTTGCTAAATAAACATACCAACTAAAATTCCAGCTGTAAGATGCAGAAGACATATATATGCATCCATTATAGCCTGATGGCCAATCATCAAAAGCGAAACTTTGGCAGTCCCCTGGAGGAAAATTTCATATGATATAATCATATAAACAGTAGTAAAATACATTTTTTTTTGTACTTGTAGTAAAATACATTGAATAAATACAACTAG